TTGTCTGATTAATGCTATTATTTTGTCTCTGTGGATTTTTAAGACCTCAATAGATCCGAGTTGTGAAGGAGAGGTGCAGATCAGTTGTTTATGGTGATCTGAGAGATTTTAGCTATATTGTTAACCACACAGAGACTAGGGGGTCTTAATGGTAATGGACTTACAATTTAACTGATGGAAGTACTGTACAAATGAAATCACAAGAATTCATGCAAACAGCAATGGAGAAGAGATCAGAAGATGGATTTTAATATTCCTAGCAGTGGAGAAGGGGCATGTCCTATTCTAAAGACTAGTGTTAACAGATCAGTGATCAGCAGAGCTGAATTTGCTGGCAGTAGAAATTACCTCTGCTGCAAAGTCAGTATAAAATAAGCTGGAATATGAATGAGCAGGAGCTATTTGCTGGCTCTGTGGAAATTTATGGATATGGAAAATTATGGTTGGAAGATATGCAGCTCATCTCTTGTCTCTGTCATACCAACCAGCTGTTTGCAGTTGACCTTTGCTGTGAAATCTAATGCAAAAAGAAGTGAAATGTGCTATCCTTCTAAATGTTTCTTCAAAGAGCAAGGTTGGGGTTGGTTTGAGAGTGAATTAAACTTTCTTGCTCTGAGGGAGGCTTTTCAAGCACAGCTCTAGCCCCAGTAACCAGTCCTCTTTGTGCCTCCTGTAAGGGGTGGAGCTGGACCGACTTCTCCAGAGGACAAGGGACACCTAACTTATGTTCTGCAGAGCACTGCTGTAGGCATCTCCCTCGTTAGTGGCTACAGTGACAGCTTTGGGAGAATAGCCCTACATGCCCACACTAGGAATCAGTGTGGTTTAGCTAATGCACTGATTTAATTTTAAACCTTGCTTTTCTGTGAGTCTACCACCAAGAAGCTCTAAGAGTTTGCATCTTCTGCTGACCCAATTGTTGCTTGACTGAGCATCAGTCTTCCCTCCTCCTAAACGCAACTATTTTCATCATTTATCACCAGCTCACCCCTGTTATAACATATAGACTAAAAGAAGTTCCAACAAGCTGAGATTCATCTGACCAAAAGCAGACAACCGCAGGCAGGCTAGCTGTTTAATTTCCCCGTGTAGTTACTAGAAAGGGACTTATAACACATGACTCATCTCATCTTGCAGGGGCTGTCTGCAATATGGTAGATGATCCCTGCCCTAAAAATGCTGCTTTCTCTCCACTGGCTCTGAAGGGCATCCAGCCTGACAGTGCAGATGGCCAAAGTTGAACAAGATGAGTCTTGGCCAAGGGAGCCAGGATGGGGATGTGGACTGCAAATGTGGAATTGAAAGACAGAAGGTTAGGAAAGAGGGAGAGTGTTTCATGAGTGAGGGAAAGGGATGAAAACTAGCTTGAACATAGTGCAGAGAAGGTACAAAACAGGATGGGGAATATTTGTTTTTCTTATTCTTTTGCTTTTGGATGTTTTGAACCTTCTTGATTCTGTGGTAAAGCCACAGACCTTGAATTAATTTAAGGCAAACACTGCAGCATGGCAGCAGAGCACACAGTGTCTGGCTTTGAAAATATCGTTCATGAAGAGCCTTGTTTTGGTGCATGACATTGGAGTTTTGAACAGGTTCGACTATACTTTGCTTACATCTGTGATTTCAGTAACACTTGTGTCTTCAGTAATTCCATCTAAAGGGAAAGACACAGAATTAAGAAAGAAAATTGTCTTTTGAAGTAGGAGCAGAGGCATTCAAATCATTTTATTTGGCCTGAACTTTTTCAGCATTGTCTTTTGTTGGGTAGGAAGGGTAGTAGAATATATCCTCCCTGAACCAGGTGACAACCATGTGTTCCCACCTTGAATAGCATTGGAAAAAAAAAGGCTTGATGAGACTCCTTTTATTTCAAATAGTCTAAGAAAGCAAAGCAAACAAAACAAAAAACAGTATTGTGGGTTTTAGGATTTATCTCATTTATCTCATGCCTTAAACATGGAGAACATAAAGAAAAGGCAGCAAAGATGACAGAGTGCTGCTAATGTGGTGGGGCTGAGGAATGGGGAATTGAGCAAAGAAGGTTGTGGAAGGACTTTGTAAGTGTGAGTTCTGGAGAAGCCCTGGAAGAAAGATGGAGAGAAAACCTGGTGAATCAGACTGCAGAATTGTTCCAAGGTTCAGAACTGGGGTCAGGAGCTGGAAGATGAAAACATCCAAAAGTCAAGATTTGAAGACACCATTAGGGTAAGGAGAGAAGCAAATGCTTCTAACAGACATCAGGGAAGAAAACAAGGAGATCAGAAGTCCAACATTATGAAAGCAATAGTGAGCAAAGTCAAAGCTGGGCTTTCCAAGAATAGCCAAAGAGTATTTTTTTTACAAAGATGAGAGGAAAGGACATAACAGAATTTACTGAAAGACTGGGATGTGAACAGGAGACTGGAAGACAGTCTTTGCAGTCATGGGTAATGCGGAGATAAGAGAGTAATGAAATTAGGAGAGAAAACCCAACAGTGGCATATCCTCGGTGCCTGAAACAATTCCTCCATCTCAAGGTGAAAGCAGATACTGCAGGGACTCTGCCCATAACTTCACTATGCTTTTTTTTTTCAGCAGGATCACAATTTTAGCATTTTTTTTTGGTTGTAGCTGTATGTTGGCCACTTTGCCGCTGAAGCCACTATAATGGAGGTTTTATAAAAGTATATGCTCTCTGGGCAACCTTGCAAGAAGCACAATGACAACTTGAATTTATTCCACACTACATTTCAAATTCACAGCAGTGAGCACTCATATGCAAGTATAATGGGAAAGAAATTCCTCTCATTTAAATGATCTGGTGCCCACCTTGTGTGAATGAAATCCAAATGAATGAAATTCCTTCCTTTGTGAGTGCTTTCCAGGTTTGAGTTGCAAATCTATTCAGTGTATTCCTGTAAGATGAATACCAAGATTGTGCTTGCCCCTCACCTAGCATAAATGAAACCTAGTCCATGCCTGAAGCTTCTAGGCACTGATAGATAATCTGAAGCCCTTCAGGAGAAAATCAGATGTCTTTTAATTTTTACTAAAGGACTAATCACCCCATGCCTCAGTTTCCCCAGTTGCACGGAAGAAGACTTTGCCTTCAGTCCAAAAACAAAAGGCTTTTTATTTTCTTACTCTCCAGGTGATATTTATTCTTCAGATTGTGTTTTGCCCATAAACCATTTACTGAACAACTTCTGTGACAGGACCTTTTTTTATTATTTTTTTAAAAAAAGAACTCACAATACTGAGAAGAGTTAAAAAGGCTAAAGAAAAATAGCATGAATACCATTGTATGTATTGGACTACAAGGATATGTAGCTGATTTTTGACTAGGGTTTGATCTAGCCTCTTTTTCTTCAACAAGGAGAGGACTTCTTGTCTTTTCTGTGTCCCTTTAAAGAATAAAACCAATATGTCTCGCAGTAACAATATTTTAGGCATCTCTAAAATAGAAAGTCCTAAATTGGTTGAAGCAGTATTTCTATCTCAGTCTATTATTTGCAGAGAGAAAATAAATATATGCATTTTAATATTAATAATTAGGTAATTTCAATTAATAACAAATAATACTGAATTTGATATTTAAGTTTAAAGATTGATTTAATTAATATTAAGTAATATTCATGTTACCTTTAAATATTGGGAAAAGACATTCAAAATATATACAGGAAGCTGAGCAAGGAAGAACTTGGCAGTACAAAGAATGCAATGGTATGCATTTATTCATACAGCAAAGAATTAAATCACATCAAATAGCATAACATGCAACTGCTTAACACCTCTCAATTTTTCCAAAAAACAGAAAGATTTCTGATAAACGATACTTGCCTGCAAGAATTCTCACAATGTGTCCCAGGCACAGTAATACAGAGAGCTTGATATAGGGGACCTGACTCATCCCAGAACCGATCCTATTTACATATCGCTGGCTGCACATCTCACAGTGATGTTCTCTCATATAACACTTAAAAAACCTGCTGTGGGCACTGGGATTTCACTTGGCTCTGCAAATGTGAGTGAAAAGACGCAGCATTTATGGGCAAAGTACTTTAATGAGAATAAAACCACCTGCAGGGGTTAAATATTTGCTAAGAGCCTTCCTGGGTAATATTAGTGTAGTTGCTTGGTTTTAAGCAATCCAATCCTTTTTGGAGACACCCTGACCTTTGTAAAATTAGCACCCCTGTTAGAGAAGATCAGTTAGCAATAACGGTATCTGTATCTGAAATCCTGCCTTAGGCTCTATCTATCTGCTCATATCTCTGAGTCTGGAAATCACCAAAGGAGCAGCCTAGAGGATATAAGCACAGGGATGGAGCATAGAGGATATAAGAATTTTTCTCCCCATAAACCAACATTTTTCCCCTCCAATCTCAAATGCTCATATATATCACCATACCATTTCTTAACACATGCCCTTGTCTTAATAAGTGAACCAAACATAAAGAGTATTACAGCTCATCAGAGTACAAACCTGTGCCGAATGCTGAATGAAGCAGCTGCTTCCTTTCACTGTTTGTAGGTAATATTGGCTGGGATGTGTGGCTGAAAAAACACATGGTGTCTCTGGTACCAACAGTCAGCTTGAATGACACCTTTTAGCTTGTAACATTGCTATGAATCTTACCTCTGGAGGTAAGATTGACATTTCGGTGTCTATTTTTGCATTTCCTAAAGATATATGCAAAATGGAAGAAAAACAAACTCAAAGAGCTACCTAAGGCACACAGGGCTGCTTTGATCTGCCCACTGTTCCAGTGATGGGTTGGAGGATACATACATTACTCAGACAAAAAAAAAATATCATGAACTGCTCTGGATTGTCTCCACTTGATGGTTTGTGGGCACAAAACCCTCTTCTCTCATTTCCTTAGAATAACAAATTCCTTAAGCTCTTGACTTCTTTTTTTACCTGAAAGAAGTCAGGATGTTGTGAACCTCCTCCGGGACTGACCACAAAAAAAAAAAAAGAGGTTTTCCCTCCCCAAAAGGCAGAAATAGCCTTTTACCTGTTCCGCTCCTCTGGATGGATCCAACCATGAGCCACATCAAAAGGCACTTGAGCTCCATGGAGCGTGTTCACATGCTCTTTCCGCAGCGCTGAGGATGAGGCAGGTTCTCAGAAGCGAGGGGCTCGTGTGGGCAGAGCCACCAAGTCATCGACGGAGCCCCGTAGGAGACACCGCGAGGACCGTGCGCGCTGGTCAGCGAGATCACCGCGGCGCCGGCTGGCTCCGCTCGCGCGAGTGAAGGCTGCTCCCCGTTCACGGCTTAGTAGATTTTTATCCAGGAAATCATACTCGACGCTAAGCGTCGCGTGTGTGCAGTCGTATGTAGGAAGTGGTTTGGCACAGCAGTTACCGACTCTAGAGCTGTTCCACTACAGTTGTGGCCAGGAGAACGGGGCAAGATTTTAAGGGTTCTGTGCAGTCACTCGACTCCCAATTTTTACTGCACAGGAATCTGACGGTGGCCTTAACTCTAGGGTAGCTGCTGAATGACAGTGGACCTTGTGTCCCATCATTCTGACCCACCTATGGAAAGAAAAAAAAACCTGGAGGTAACCCCAGGGCTTTTTGGAGATCTCTGCCTATGGACCATTTGCTTGGACTTCTCAGAGATCTTTATCTGCTGCTGTTTTTTCATGTACGCTGTTTTGATGTATGCAGTGTTTTCTGAGTGAAAAAACAAACTTCCGGAAGCTTGCAAGTTTGAAGAAAAATATATATTAGGTCCAGGTAGGCAGGTTTGGAAACGGTTTCTCTCATTCCTAAACTGCCTGGCCATGCTTCAGCAAAGCCAGGTCTTCCAAATGTCTGTACAAAAAGGAAGAATGACCCCCCCCCCAACAAAAAAAAAAAATAGAAATGATCAAGAAAGTAGTGCATGTTATATAGTTTTCCTACAGTCATTTCTACATAAATTATTTTCCTTTAATGCCTAGAGAATTAGTTGGAATAGGCTATAAAAAAAGAATAGATTAAAACTAAATTATATTAAAAATAACAGATTAAAACTATCTATCATCTGTGGTATTTTCTACTGATATGCTTAGATCACCTATAAAATGCACTATTTATTCCTGCAACATGATTATCATGTGCCAGACACGTGCTTCCTCTATATAAACCCTTAATAAATTAAATCTTTATAGCAAGTATGACTAAGAAATATAAGTGATGCATTTGAAATGAGGCTGCAGAGAGAGGCAATGCTATTGCCCTCACTGTCTGTCCATGCTCCACAGACAGGACCATCGTGTTACTGCTGAGGACATTCCTACTGCTTCATCTTCCATATTCAGTAGTGCAACAGCAAGCACAACAGGACTTGGAGAGTTTGTGCTCGAGATATCTGTTGGAAAGACACAGGCCCCAGGTTTCCTGAAAAGTTTCCAAGAAGCCCAGAGTTGGGCAATGGCACACGCAGAACTGCCACTGCTTTGCCTGGAAAACGTATTTGCACGAGGAAGAATCAGAGATCGGTTATCTCATGATTTGTTCTTCCTCTACAAAATGCATGGTGTGCTCATTGCACGTGCAGGGGTTTGCGCCACAGCTTCTGCTTTTGTTTCTTACTTGGGCAAACAAATTCAGGTGAATTTTATAGCTGTTTGCATTCTTGGGCAGAAGGGTTGATTTCGGTAAGTGAGTGGAGCCACGTGCACCCTTTCATGCCGCTTTTAGGCAGGAAAACTCAATGCAGAGGGATAACGGCTAACATTTTATTAGCAAGGGTGAGTATTTAGCCTACGAAGAGCATGTGATGGTCCCTGAACGATGACCTCCCAGGTGGCTAATTGCTCCAACCACAGTTTGCATAAGAAAGACTCATAAGGCTGGCATTCAGGCTTGGTAAAGGTCAGGAAAGCGGTTACTGCTTGTGCGAGCAATTAGTTAGGTCAGCTTGTGAAATAGGTCAGCTTGCTGAGCGATTCCAGGAAAAAAGAAAAAAAAAGAGAAAAAAAAAAGAGAAAAAAAAGAAAAAAAAAGAAAAAAAAGAAGTTTTTAAAAAAACAACCTTCTGGGCGCTGCAGGTATGCTACCATCATCTGACCCAAAGCAGAGCTTCGTACAGAAAGGAGGAGGAGGAGAACTGAGGGAGCAGGCTAGGGAGAAAGTTACCTAACACCGGTAAAAAAAAAAGAGGGAAAAAAAACCCAGTTATCTTTGCGATTTAGCTGATTAGCGTGACTTGTCATCCAAAGAAGTGTGTGGCAATAAAAGAGATAAAAAGTGATGGAAAGCTAGAAAGTGATGGAGGGAGATGGGAATATCTTGAGTGTCTTACAAGGTGTCGTGGGAAGGTGTTAGTGTTGCTTTTTGAACATTCTTCCAAGAACCATTCCTTTAAAGAGTAGTGGGTTTTGCTGCGCAGGAAAGTATTTTCTTTCAGGGCTAGGAGGAAAAGAGACTGTCACATGGGCCGGATCACCACAGACAAGCGAGAAAGGCAAAGCAAGATTTTGAAGATTATTTTTTGTTTTTAAAAAATGCCGCTAGACCAAGCAAAATACAGAAAAGGAATTGCCAGAGAAGAAAACAGCAAGAAAAAATAAAAATGTTTTTGCAAATGTTACTGCACACTGAATCCTTTGGTCCGGAGCACTCACTAATGAAGGCTACAAGTTTATTTTTCAGTGTCTCTGATGGAGTTTTATCTGACAGGAAAAAAAGAAAAGCAGAATCATACGGAAGCTGGGGAGAAAATAGAAATTCATATGGGCCCATATCAAGGATTCATACAGAAATTCATATGGGTCCCTATCAAGACGTTTGATGCTTGATGTCAGAAGCAAAGACAATCCAGCTAATAGAAAGCTGTACCCTTGTCCTGTTTAAAGGAGTGGAAAATAACCATATAACTCACTAAAATAAGCAGGTTCTATGCTTTCTTTTCTTATTTCACTTCTCTGCTGTGAATTGCTCT